CACTTTGGCCAGTGTGCTGTGGAAGAGCTAAGTTGCGCTACTCAGGGGTCACTTTGGCCAGTGTGCTGTGGAAGAGCTAAGTTGGGCTACCGGGCGTACTGAAGTCCAAAGTTCTAAAAATCTAACAACCCCACAGTCCTACGGGTGGGGAACAAAACTTTTGCGACTCCACACCCCTCTCCGGATTCCTCCAAATTCGCCGGGCCCGCGTTCCATCGCACGCGTTCCCGAGCGCGCGCGTGCGATCTCTCGGGCGACAGGTCTTTGGCGATGGCCGCCAGCTCCGCGGTCTCCAGCGTCTCCCGGCAAAAGTCGCCGTCCTCGGAGGGCACGGAGGTCTGTGCGGGCGGGCCATGTGCTGAGGTCGGCGCGGAGCTGCAGTTGTGATGATGTGTGCACATTGCCGGGCTGCATGCGGTGGATGTGGTGGAGAATGGACATCAGGAGGATTTCAGCACAAGCTGATCATGAGGGTTGAATATACGATTGTATTGTGTATAGATGGGAAGGGGGTTAAAGTCAGGAGGAGTTCACGGATGTTGAGAGAAAATGCCACCGCTTAAAGGGCAACATATTTTTTCAACCCTAAAACATTTTTTCAACCCTAACCATTTTTCCAACCCTGCAACATTTTTCAACCCTAGAACATTCTTTTGACCCTGTAACATTCTTTTTAGCCCTTGCACACGCTTTTTCGACCCTGGAACCTTCTATTTTAACCCCGTCACATGGTCTTACAACCCTCTAACATTATCCCAATCAACTTTAAGCTTTACCCGGTTTCAACTGTTGAGCAAGCTGTGAGTCAAGGTCGAATGTAATCAGCAACTAGCTCTCGGGACTTTCCAAACAGATTTAGCTCTTGCGAGCATGGATCTAAGTGTGTGCCGCAACCGGGTCCCACTGAGGTCTAGCGTGTGGTCCCCACGGGGCGCGTTGAGCATAGACCCTTAAGGGGGAAGTGTCAGTGATCACGTGACTCCTCCCTGATTAGCTGACTGCTCGAGATTGCTGAGAGCTCAAATTTTGTGGCAGGCTCAGTACTTTTTGGACCTTGAAGTGCACATTTCGTAGCAGGTGCAGTGCTTTTGTGGGCCTTGGAGTGCCCATTCCGTGGCAGGCACAGTACTTTGTGGACCTCAAAGTGCAGATTTCGTGGTAGGTGCAGTACCTTGTGGAAATTGAAGTGCAAGCTTCTGAGCACGAGCACGCATCCAGCAGCAGCAGCAGCAAACCAGCAGAGCAGCAGCAGCTAAGCAAAAAGGCAGCACCGGCACCAACAGCAGCAACAGCGGCGGCGGCAGCGGTAGCAGCAGTGGCTGCAGCACAGCAAAGCAGTAACAGCAGCAACAGCGGCAGCAGCGGAAGCTGCAGGTGCAGGTTGGAAGCAGCAAGCCAGCAAGGCCAAAGCAAAAGGAAGACGGTGGAGAAGCACCAGCAGCAATAGCAGAATGTGGCGACCGAATCATTCGAGGTTCCAACAAAGGCGTCTACATCCTAGGACTCAGGGGGCAGCCCCCAACGGTGCGACCTAGGGTTAGAATAGCGTGTCATAGGGTTGAAATAGTATGTTTGTGGGTTGGAAAAAAAGGTTCAAGGGTGAAAAAAGTTTCCAGGGTGAAATATAATGCTTCCAGGGTGAAAAAGAGGTTTGAATTGAATA